TATCTCATGGTAGTTTTGATTTGCATTTCCCTGATAACAAGTGATGTTGAACATTTTTTGATATGCCCTGTTGGCCATTTGCATTTCCTCTTCGGAGAAGTTTCTTTTTAGCTCTTCTGCCCATTTTTTGACTGGATTATTTTCTTTGTTTTTGTTGAGTCTCATCAGCTCTTTGTAGATTTTTGTGATCAGTCCTTTATCATTAGTGTTGTGTGCAAAAATGTTCTCCCAGTTGGTGGGGTTCTCTTTGTTTTTGTTATTGTCTCTTTTGCTGTGCAGAAGCTCTTTAATTTGATGTAGTCCCACCTGTTGATCTTTGCCTTCACTATCACTGCTTTGGGTGATGTGTCTGTAAAGATGTCTTTGAGGTGCATGTCATGTAATGTTTTGTGTATATTTCCTTCTATATATTTTATGGTTTCAGGTCTTATGTCTAGTTCTTTAATCCATTTTGAATTGGTTTTTGTGCATGGTGTGAGGTAGTGGTCAAGCTTCATTCTTTTGCATATAGCGACCCAGTTTTCCCAGCACCATTTATTCAGCAAACTTTCTTTAAATGAGAAAGTGTTCTTCTAAAAAAAAAAATATATATTTATTTATTTATACAAGCACTGGATCCAGTCAGAAGCGCGTGAGGGTGAGAGAATTCACCAGAGCTGGAGCAGGGAACAGAACAGGCAGAAGGACCGAAGTACACTGCTGAGGGGAGCAGCGGGCGTCAGGAGAGGTCTACATGCCATGTGGGACACTCACCAGTCAGCCAGGGATTGAACCAGCGCTGCAGAGGCTGCAGGCAGCTTCGCAACCCAGCGCTCAACCGCTGCACCACCAGGGAGGCCCGAGAAAGTATTCTTAACAAAAATAACATTTCTGAAAATAATCAGGCCAATGAGAAGAGTGGATCTTTTACATTTTTGCAATTGTCTTTCTTGTCTGTCTCATTAGAAGACCTTTGGATTTTCTTCATATTTTCGTCTCCGTTTAGTCTGTTGTTCTGGTTGAAGTCTATGAAAAAATACACACTGCCTTACTATAACTATGCAGACACTGCCTTACACAAATATGTTGAAGTAGTGTTTTCAGACAATTTGTAATATCCCACTTTGATACTACATTAAAACTATACAGTTTTAACCTTGGTATTTTCTCCAAGGTTAATTGCAAAGTGAAACCTGAAATATTATCATTGAATATTTCTTATTCTGTTACATTTCCATAGTCCTCTTGTTGTAGAAATAAATTCTGGCCTTTTCCCCAGGCAGAGGAAGAACAAGGGGTACTTCATAATGGTGAGGTCAGAAGCTTTATTATTCATGCATGAGGTCCCAGACCTGGGTAGCCCCCTAAGTCAGAGCACCAGTTTAAAGACCAAGGGTTCCTTTTATACACAACTGTGTCCATATCTGTTACATTGATAGTGACGTGGTTTTTGTGAAGTCTGTGGGTTTGGAGTACGGGGTCCTTGGGGTCACTCTGGGAAAGGTTTCACCAGAGCTCCCCTTTCAGCGACACGTGGTGAGGTCCCCAGCGAGTTTCTCCACGAGACAAAGACACTAGTTATATTTAAAGGACAGGTTTATTAGGGAAAGGGACAGAAGAGTAAAAGACACTTGCATAGACACAAGCGGGCAGGAATAGCTGCCCCGAAAGGGACAGGTTTGCTGAGAGAGGCCTGCGTGGTTGCAGGCGGGCAGTCTTGAGGAGAGCGGCCTTCGCTGAAGGAGGTCAGTGCAGAGAAGTCCAGGCATGGTGCAGGTCACGGGCAGGCAGGCAGGCAGGAAGCTGCTGTCCTGCGGAGGGAGAGGGTTGGTAAAAAGAGGCATCTGCATAGTCACAGGTGGGCAGTGGGCTTGCTGCCCTGAGCCTGTGCAGAGACTGCACTGATATAGTCCTCTGCTGTTTGGGAGGGGCCGCTCCTTGTGAGATTTAGGGTTAGTGGCTGATTTTGGATAACTAAGCAGAATCTGAAAGGGACAGCAGATTCCACCATGGGCTCAATCTCCACATCTTTACGGGTGGATGTGTGCTCTGATACCTGCTTGGATGTTATGTGATCCAGGCATTGGTGCCTGAAGATCTTAGTTTTCACAAGGTGAAGTCTGTGCCTAAGGATCCTAGTTTCCATAACTGTGTTGATGGTTATGCTAATCTCTTCTACCCCCATCTTCTTGTGAGAGCCACGTTTCTGGTCATGTGGTGCTTCCTTTTTCAGTTTATTTATTTATTTTTTTCATTCCTGTCCTCCATCAATAGCATAATTTTCAGCAGGCACAACCATTTGCTGCAAAGTCCTCCAACAAGGGAGGCCCGGCAAGTGGGTGAAGATGCAGGCATTTGGGGATGCCCTTTAAGAGAGAGGCCAGCGGGTTGACTGCCCAGCCTTGTAGATAAGAGTGCTGAGGCCCTGGCCATGCATCTTAAAAGGGAAAGAGCTGTGAGTAAGCAAACTTGTTAATTATGCCTGCATGGGAGTGTTCATTGTGTTACAGGACAAGGAGAGGAGCACCCCAGACCCCGCAAACCTGCCTGCTCTAAATAGGCTCTGCCATCCACTGCATCCACACAAAACATGTAAGACTGTAATGGGAAGGAACTTGAATACAATTAGTAAACAATACAGAAAAGACAAAGAATATAGTTTCTAAATCAAGCACCCTTGTTACCCATCCCCTTGTGGGTAAAAGACCACCCGAATGGTCTTTCGGGCCAGAGCAAGGCCCAAAAGCCTGCCACAAATCTAAAGCATCTTTTAGTGGGGACCCACAGAAAAGGATCAGAAATAACTGGGCAAGATTGGGAGGAAAAGAGCAAATTCAAAATCAAGATAAAAGCTGCCATTGTCACCTCCCCACGGGTCTCTCACCCACATCAGTTTCAGCACCAAAAGGTAAGCATAGTTTCTTCACGTGTCTCTCTGTTCCATGTGCCTCCTCCAGGTCTCCTTATGGCTCCATCCTGCTTCCTTCCTTCCTCAGTCTCCTCTGCAGCTTCTTCTCTTCTCTTTAGCTCCACCCTCCATTGAGTGGGGCAAGAGAACCTGAAACTTCCCCTTTCCCTGGGCAGCACCCTGTTACAATTGCACCAAGACTGGAAATTCTGCTGGAATCTTTATTATATTCATTTGCTCAATAATATATGTTCTCATCACTCTCTTGCATATTGGTTGGGTCTTGTGCTAATGTGTGATTTTTTTAAAGTAATATATTATTCCACTAAGTTATAAAGATCTTCAGTATTCTTTACACTAGAATCAAATTATTAAAAAGAAATTTTCACTTTATTTTTCACCACAAATCCCAAAAGTAAAAGTAGTACTGGAAGTTGTCAAGTTAGTGAAAGATGGAGGAGAGCAATAGAAAAAGACTGGAAAGGAGATGCCCCAAGACCAGAAATCTTGCCTACACAAGGAGCAGGAGGTAGAAGGGATTAACACAGCCATTGACACAGATCTAGAAACCAAGATCCTTAGGCTCCAAAGCCTAGATTACAAAGCAGAAAATCCAAGCAGGTATCAGACTGCTGTCTAGAGCACAGGCCCAAGGGTAAAGATATGGAGATTGTGTTCATTGTAGACTCTCCTGTCCCTTTCAGATTCTGCATAGTTATCCAACATCAACAACTAACCAGAAGGCTCACAAGGAGTGACCCCTTCCAAAAAGAAGACTATGTCAGTGCAGTCTCTGCACAGGCTGGGGGCAGCAATCCCTCTGCCCACCTGTGACTATGCAGGTGCATCTTTTCACCAATTCTCTTCTCTGCAGGGCAGCAGCCTCCTGCCTGGCCATGACTTGCATCATGCCTGCACTTCTCTTCACTGACCTCCCTCAGTGGAAGCAGTTCTCCTCAAGGCCATCCACCTGTAGCCATGCAGGCCTCTCTCAGCAAATCTGTCCCTCTGGGGTGGGGGGGGGCAGCTCTTCCTGCCCGTTTGTGTCTATGCAAGTGTCTTTTACTCTTCCGTTCCTTGTCTAGTAAATCTGTTTTTTAAATATAACTAATGTCTCTGTCTTGTGGAGTAACTCGCCTGGGGAATTCTTCGTGTGTCGCTGAAACAGGAACCCTGGTGAAACCTTTCCCAGAGTGAACCCAAGGACTCCACACTCCAAACCCACTGACTCCAAAAACTCCATCATTAGCATACCATAGGCTATTAATATTCTTTTTTAAAAAAAGATTTATTTATTTATGCATACAAGAACTGGGGTGTAGGCCTGAGGTGTGGTGGGTGAGAGGATTCACCAAAGACAGAGTGGAGAGCAGAACAGGCAGATCTACAGAAATACACCGCTGAGGGGAGCAGCAGGTGAGGCAGGAGAGGTCTGCTGTGCCAAGTGGGTTGCTCCCTGGCCATGGATTGAACTGGTGCTGCTGCAGCTACAGGTCACTTCATAGTGCTGATGCTTAACCCCTTGCGCCACCAGGAAGGCCCCATGTTATTTATATTCTAAAGTAAAGAAGCAATAACATCTTTTAAAAAGGTTTTATTCTAGTAAAGTAAATATTTAAAGCTGTAACCCACATAACAATATTATACATGGGATCCGTAATAATTTGTGAGACTGTACAGAGTTTCTGAAAGAAAAATGTTTGAGACTTGCGGACCCAGTCCCTGGGCCTGGACTCAGGGACACGGTGTGACAAAGGTCTCGGAGCAGGAGAGGAGGGGGCGGCAAAGTCCCAGGTCTCGGGGTGTGGCTGTCTGGGTCTCAGTCCCCAGCGCGGGGTGCAGGGCTGGAAGGTGACTGCTGGGGATTCGCCCTCTCCCCTCGGTTCCACTTCTGGGCTCACAGCCTGGGCGGGTCCTCCTGCCTGGATACTGGTGACTCACCCCAGGGCTCACTCCCCATTGCCTGGAGGTCTCCAGAGCAGCCAATCAGCAGCCCCGCGGCTCCCGTTCCAAAGCCCTCGCCCGCCCGCCGGGACTCCGTCTCCCCAGCCCGGGTGGGGCGCGTCCTGGGGGATGGGGGGCGCAGCCCTCCTGCTCCTGCTCGCGGGGCCGCGGCCCCGAGGGAGACCCGGGCGGGTGAGTGCGGGTCGGGAGGGGACAGGGCGCTCCCAGAGGCGGGAGCGAGGGCGTGGGCGGGCGTGGGAAAGGCGCGACCTCGCCGCCGCCCTAGTTGTCCCCCCACCTCGGCCCCGCCCCGTCCTGGCCCCTTTCCGTCCCCCGAGACCCCAGCCTCCTCTGGCCCCCCGAGTCCCGGCCATTTTCGTCCCGCAGCCTCTTTTCACTCTACTCGTCTTTCACCCACTTTCTGTCTCGTGGGCGCCCCCTGGGACTCGAGCCCCCGAAGGGGAGAAGAATAGCCCGGGTCTCCCCTCCCGCCCCCAGGCCCCCACTCCGTGAGGTTTTTCTCCACCGCGATGTCCCGGCCCGGCCTCGGGGAGTCCCGGTGCATCATCGTGGGCTACGTGGACGACACGCAGTTCGGGCTGTTCGACAGCGACTCCCCAGGCCAGAGAGTGGAGCCGCAGGCGCCCTGGGCGGGGCAGCTGGGGCAGGAGGTGTGGGACTGGAGGTCGCAGATCGCAAGGCACAGCGCACTGTGGTCCCGAGCGCACCTGGACGCCCTGCGCGGCCTCTACAACCAGAGCGAGACCGGTGAGCTGGCGCGGGTCCGGGCCGGGTCAGCACCCCCATCCCCACGGACGGGGGTCGCTCAGGGTCTCCCCCTCCAGGCTTCTCTGCAACCTGCCCGGGAACAGCCCGCGGGACTTTCACCCCATTTCATTCTGTTTAGTTTATTCCCGGCGGGAGGGGGTGCGGGGGGGTGCGGGGTGACACGGGCAGGGACAGGGTCTCACACCTTCCAGTGGATGTCTGGCTGCGACGTGGGGCCCGACGGGCGCCTCCTCCGCGCGTACAGTCAGTTTGCCTACAATGGCGCCGATTACCTGGCCCTGAACGAGGACCTGCGCTCCTGGACCGCGGTGGACACGGCCGCTCAGATCACCCAGCGCCAATGGGAGGCGCAGGGTGAGGCAGAGAAATTCAGGAACAATTTGGAGGACTGGTACTTGTGGTGGCTGCGCAGATACCTGGAGTACGGGAAGGAGACTCTGCAGCGCACGGGTAAGAGGGGCCTGGAGGCCTCCCGGTCCCCCCCTGCCTGGAGTCACTGCGGGAAATGAGTCCTCTCTCTAGTCCCGAGAGGGGGACTCCCCTGGGGTTCATGTTCTGCACTAGAGAGACTCCCAGAGACTCCGGCTTCTCCTGAAGGACAGTGAAGGGATCCCGTCTCTCCTGAGAAAGACAGACAGTCCCTGACATCACACGTCACCGGGTCCTTTTGACCAGGGGCCTGTTTGAGAACCACGAGTTTCTCTCTCAGTCTTGTTTCTGGTCTGAGAACATTTTCAGTTATGTGATTCCTGCTTTTCTGTGTCATTCACCTTCCACCCAGGTCAGGAATAAAAAGTCTGTGTTCCACTCCCTCTGCTTCATCCTACCCTGGGTTTCCTTCCTCATTCTAGAACTTTCTAAGGAATAGGAGAATCTCACAAATTCCCCCAGACTGGCCTATTTTTTACATTTTATGCTTCTTCCTGCCACACCAGTTGTCTTGTCCATTGTGAGGATGGTCTCATGAGGATTCCTCAGTGTCCATGCAGGAAACACAAAGTGAATTTTCTGATTTACCACCTCAGATCCCCCAAGGACACATGTGACCCACCACCCCACCTCTGAGCATGAGGTCACCCTGAGGTGCTGGGCCCTGGGCTTCTACCCTGCGGACATCACCCTGACCTGGCAGCGAGATGGGGAGGACCTCACCCAGGAGATGGAGCTGGTGGAGACCAGGCCTGGGGGAGACGGAACCTTCCAGAAGTGGGCGGCTGTGGTGGTGCCTTCTGGAGAGGAGCAGAGATACACGTGCCACGTGCAGCATGAAGGCCTGCTGGAGCCCCAGGTCCTGATATGGGGTAAGGAGGAGGATGTGGGCACTGAGGCTAGTCTCAGGGCCATCAGGAGTCTTTCTGGAGCCCTTCAGAGGGTCAGGATAAGGTCTGGGGCTCAGGGTATGCTCTTCCCTTCCTTTCCAGTGCCCCCTTCTCAGTTTTCCATCCCCACCGTGGCCATCATTGCTGGCCTGTTTCTCCTTGGAGCTGTGCTCACTGGAGCTGTGGTGACTGCAGCTGTGAGGAAGAAGTGGAGGAAGAAGTGCTCAGGTAGGGAAGGGAGTGGGGGCATCTTGTCCACTGAGAGCTTTCAAGTCCCAGGGAAAACCGCCCTGCCTGGTTAATGGGAAGTACCATCCACACACATGGGTGTTGCCCAGAGGGCATTTGGTCCAGTCCCCCCTCACCAGCTTTCTTCATTTCTCCCAGTCCTGACCTGGATCTTTACTCACAGTTCTGGAATCTTCCCTGTTCTGCAGGATTAAAAGATTCCATTAGGTCTTCTGACCTGACTGCTCCCTGGTCTCACATGATGTTTCTTCCCACAGAAGGACAAGGAGGAAGCTACACTCAGGCTGCAGGTAAGTGTGCATCAGCAGTGTGATCCCTGCGCCCCTGGGGACAGTGTAGATGGAGCCCATGGGGGAGTCACCCTCATCAGTCCCTCCTGTGGTCTCATCTCTGACCAAGTTCTATTTTGTTCTCAACCAGGCAGTGACAGTGCCCAGGGCTCTGATGTGTCTCTCAGCCCCTAAAGCATCTTTTAAAATGAATGTGATAAGGGCTCCTCCCCGGTGGCGCAGCGGGTTGAGCGCATCTCTGTGAAGCTGTCAGCAGCCACTGCAGCACCAGTTCGATTACCAGCCAGTCAGGGAGAATCCCACATGGTGAGGCAGACCTCTCCTGTCTCTCCCCTGCTCCACTTTCAGTCCGTCTGCCTGTTCTGCTTCCTGCTCTGTCTCTGGTGAACCCTCTCACCCTTCTATGACTCTGGCCTGTACCCCAGCTCTTATATAAATAAAAAATAAAAAAAAATGATGAATGTGATGAGGCTCCTATTGTTCACACCCTGGACAGCACCTGGTATTGTGCAGAGTTTGCATTTTCAGTCTCTCCTGGTTGTCACTGTTCTTAATTGTGATATTGAACATTTGTTCATATTTTTACTTTCCTATGACTATAGTTGCTGTTTGTATGGAAGTTTTGTACATTTCTACAGATGAGGTGCTGTTCATTTATTACACTATTTTTGTCTTTATTAAAATTGGGTTATTTCTTTCTGATCATTGAGTTTTGGGCATTATTTCTAGATAAAGTCCTTTATCAGATTCATGATTTGCAAATGTTTCCCCCAACTCTGTGGCCTGAACTCCTTTACTGATGGGAAAACAAACACTGTTGCCCAGACAGGAGCATGGAGATGTATATATATGTGTGTGTGTAGGTATATATGTATGTATATGTATACATGTATGTATATGCATATGTATATAGGTACATATATATGTATATGTATAATGTATATAAAGAGAAAAGATAAATTGCTAACTGGATTTGAGCAGATACTGGCTGACTGGGGTGTTGGGGGTGGAGTGGAATGACTTAATGCATATCCTTGAGTGTTATTTAAATGTCCTTGTTTGAGCATGAAATATGCTTTCTAAAGTAAATTACACTTCATTCCTCAACTTATAAAACTCTTCACACATCATGTTCAAATCACGTGTTAAGACCAGACTGACACGTGGGTTACAAGTGATGGATCCGGACATCATAGTTGCAAAGTCATGGTTTCCCTTTGGGTTCACTCTGGTGTTGTCCATTCTTGGAGTGTTGGGCAAATGTATAGTGACCTGTGTCCATCATGAGAATATCATGCAGAGTATTTTCACTGCCCATAGTGTCTTCTGTGTTCCAAGGAAGCAAAAGCAGAAGAAACCAGTGGAATCACATCAGACTAAAAAGCTTATACATAGTGAAGGAAACTATCGTTAAAATGAAAAGAGAATATTGAATTGGAGAAACTATTTGTACATCATCAATCCAACAAGGAGATAATATCCAAAATCTACAAAGAACCCCAAAACAGGGCTCCCCGGTGGCGCAGAGGTTGAGCGCTGGGTTGCGAAGCTGCCCGCAGCCTCTGCAGCGCTGGTTCAATCCCGGCTGCTCCCCGGCCACCGGAGGAGGGTCCCACATGGCGCGCAGACCTCTCCTGCCGCCACTGCTCCCCTCAGCAGTGTACTTCAGTCCTTCTGCCTGTTCTGCTCTCCGCTCTGGCTCTGGTGAATTCTCTCACCCTCCCGAGCTTCTGACTGTACACAATGCTTGTATAAATAAATAAATAAATCTTAAAAAAAAAAAAAACTCCAAGAAAACAACTCAAAACAGGGACAGAGGAGCTAAATAGGTACTTTTCTAAAGAAGACACACATGTGGCCAATAGGTACATGGATAAATGTTTGTCATGTGCTGTCAGGAAAATGTCAATTAAAACCACAATGAGTTACCACCTCACATCTGTGAGAATGACCCATTGAAGGGTGTGGAGGAAAAGGAACTCTGGCACATGGTGGGTGGGAATGATGTCTGGTCCTGTTAGTGGGCAGAATGAGGGGTTCCCTGGGCCCTCAAAACTGTACAGTCTACGTGGGATTGCCCATCAGCTGTAAAGACAAAACATACTCTAAAGCATAAGCCTTCAATAGAAAAGAACTTTAATACAGTTAGTATATAATAGAGAATCAGTGTGCAATAGAGAGAGAAAAGAGAAAGAATATAGTTAGAAAATTTCCCACGTGAAGCACCCAAAGTCACCCACCCCTCATGGGTAAACGCCCAGCTGAGGCCTGAAGGCCTGCCACAAATCTAAGGCACCTACTGGTAGAGACCCATGGGAAAGGTGCAGGAGGGGCCAGGAAAGTCTGGAAGGATAAAAGCAAAATCAAAATCCACATCAAGATAACAGCTGCCATTGTCAGCCTCCCCATGGGTCCCTCACCCACGTCTTTGTCTCTTTCATGTGTCTCTTTCACGTGTCTCTTTCCATGTCCCCAACTCCCTGGAACAAGTCCAAGTCTAAGGAGGAAGCCTGGCTTCTTCTTCACATGTCTCTCTTCTCCATGCGCCTCCTCCAGTCTTCTTTCCTCATCTTACTCCACGTCTTCCTCCTCTTCCTTAGCTTCTCATCCCTGCTCAGCTCTATATTTCCTTGGGCAGGGCGGTAACCTGGAACCTCTCTTTTCTTTGGATAGCACATTGGTCCTGCCCCTATGGAAAAAAACATTAAGGTTCCTCAAAATAGACCTGTCCCATGGTCAAGCATCCCATTCCTTGGTATTTATCCAAAGAAGGCAAAAACACTAATTCCAAGGAATATGCACCTCCTATGGTCACTGCAGCGCTGTCTACCATAACCAAGCTATGGAGACAACCTAAATGCCCAATGGCAGATGAGGGGATAAAGAACACAAGCTATATATACAATGGAATACTATTCGGCTGTGAAAAAGTTGAAATATTGAATTTGCAACAACGTGGGTAGATGTGGATGGAATTATGCTATGTGAAATAAGTTTGAAGGAGAAAGTTAAATACTGGATGATTTCATTCATATTTGGAATATAAAGAAACAAAACAGGGACAGACTAAACCAAAACATAGTCTATATATATGACTGCAGAATTGAAGCTATGGGCTGGGGGTAAGAGCAGGAAACAAAGTAGGAAAAGAGCCCAATGGACTGTAGTGAAGACTGTGGGTGCCCTTAGGGTGGGTGTGATGCGGTAACAAACATCTGAAGAGGTGTAACCCTGTGCCTCTGAACACATACAGTGTGTAAACCAGTGTTACCTCAATTGAATAATACAATGGGGAGGGAAGAAGAGAATAAAGTAAATTGTCTCCTCCATCCATCACTGATCTCAGGACTTTGCCTTCGCCTCCTCACTGTCATGCAGGGTGAGGGGCTGGTTTCCCACAAGGACAGAGGCAGGAGGTGCAGGGACTCCTGGGGCTGCTCAGACCCCGCTGAGTAGAGACACTGCAGAGAGGGCGGCTCTGAGGGGACCAGAGACAGAGGGTCAGAGTAACCCCAGTGCTGAGTGAGGATCTGGTTCCCAAGGAGATGGGAGTGTGTGTGTGTGTGTGTGTGTGTGTGTGTGTGTAACAACAATGTCAGGATGCACAATACAAGATGATGTAAAGACAATTAACATCAAGCCCCAGAATAAATGAATTCAATCTCACAGAGTAAAGAGCATCAATACAACATCTCATTAAATTCGGTTTTGTGAAGAAGCAGCTTCTAAGCAGGACTGAAAAAGCATTGGACCTGAAGAAGAGGAGGATATTTAGAAATATCTCATGGTTGGCTTGAGGTGTGAGGAGCTGGACAGGACCCCTCCCCCGACCCTGGCCTCTGCTAGGATGTGGTGGCATCTTCACCCCTGACAGTTCCCTTCCCCAGTCCCCAACATTCATCTCCTTTGGAGTCACCTGTATATGTACATATATGTATACGTGTAATCCCAGCTTCTTCTTCATTTGTCACCTGTCTGGGGCATTCGGGTGGTGTCCATAGCTTGGCTACTGTAAATAGTGCTGCAGTGGTGACGGGAGTGCAGGTCCCTTCACAGGAGAGCGTTTATCCTCTGTGAGGAGATCCTCAGTGTAGAATTGCTGGGTCCAATGGCAGAACCACATTTACTCTTTTAAGAAACCTCAATACTGTTTCCAGAAGGGCTGGCTCAGTCTTTATCCAAAAACAATGCACGACTGTCCCCTTTTTTCCACATCCTTGCCAGCACTTGAGTTTCTGGTCTTTTGGATATGGGCCGTTCTCGCAGGTGTGAAGGTTTAAACCAGGAGATCATAAAGCCAGAAAATGTGGGCAAAAAGAAATCCTGTAACACTCAGGCCAACACAAGGCTGTCTCTCGCTGTGAAAGAAAATAATTGTGAAGAAATTCAGGTGAATTACCTGAGTGTTAACAATATAATGGTCCACTGCATTCTCAAGATGTCCTCCTGAAAGCATCCCCATCACCTAGACCCAGGCTCTCTGCCTCAAACCCCATCCCCACGGCAGGCCTCAAGGGTCTCACCTATAGGGACTAAGATACACTTCAGAGCACTGGGACTGTGGCTGCCTGGGGGAGAACACAACAAAACTTGGTCAGAGATGAGACCACGGGAGGAACTGATGAGAGTGACTCCCCCATGGGCTCCATCTTCATTGTCCCCAGGGGCTCAGGGATCCAACCCTTGAACACACTTACTTGCAACCTGAGTGTAGTTTCCCCCTTGTCCTCCCATGGGAAGAAGCATCATGTGAGACCAGGGAGCAGCCAGGTCAGAAGACCTAATGGAATCTTTTAATCCTGCAGAACAGGGAAGTTTCCAGAACTGTGAGTAAAGACCCAGGTCAGGACTGGGAAAAATGAAGAAAGGAGGTGAGTGGGACTGGACCAAATGCCCTCTGGGCAACACCCGTGTGTGTGGATGGTACTTCCCATTAACCAGGCAGGGCAAGTTCTCCCTGGGACATGAAAGCTCCTAGTGGACAAGATCCCCCACTCCCTTCCCTACCTGAGCACTTCTTCTACCCCCTCACACATGAAGCCACCTTGTGTCCAATGAGCACACCTCCAAAGAAAACCAAGCCGGAAATGAGGACGACAGCAAGGATGGAGAACTGAGGAGGTGGCACTGGAAGGGAAGGGAAGGTCAGACCCTGAACCTGAGGCCTCAGTCTGATCTTCTGAAGGTCTCGAGAAGGGCTTCTGATACACCTGAGTCAGCCTCTGTGCCCACATCCCCCTCAATACCCCATCTCAGGACTCGGGGTGCAATCAGCCCCTCATGCTTCACATGGCACGTGTATCTCTTCTCCTCTCCAGAAGGCACCTCTATAGCTGCCCACTTCTGGAAGTTTCCATCCCCCCTCCGATCCCGGGCCTGGTGTTCACCAGCTTCGTTTCCTGGGCCAGGTCCTCCCCATCTCGCTGCCAGATCAGGGTGATGTCCGCAGGGTAGAAGCCCAGGGCCCAGCACCTCAGGGTGACCTCATGCTCAGAGATGGGGTGGCGGGTCACATATGGCGATTGGGGGCCTCAGTAGGAAGAATCGGAAATTTCATGCTTTGTGTTTCCTGCATGGACACTGAAGCAGCCTCATGTGACCATCCTGCAGTGGACAGAACAGTATGCTTGGAGGGAGGAGCACAAACCCCAGAAACCAGCCTGGTCTGGGAGTCCGGGATAGCAGGTGAGAGCCCAGGGTGGGATGCAGGTCTCGGAGCATTTTGTTGCTGACTTGGGTGGAGGGTGATGACACAGACAGGCAGGAGTGAGATCTCCAAAAATGCTCTCTGACCAAAAAACAAGATCTCGAGAGAGAAACTCATTGTTCCTATGATGGCTGCTGGTCAAAAAGATCCTGCGAAGGGTGATTTCAGGAGTGGTGTCCCCTCTTTCTCAGGACAAACTGGATTCCTTAAGTGTCCTTCAGAAAAAGTAGGAGCCTCTGGGCCAGTCTCCATCCCAGAGCTGGAAAACGTGGCCGACAGCTCCCTCTCTGGCCAGAAGGGGGCGCTTCCTCACCATGATTCCATTTCCCTGCGGGGTGCGCGCCTCAGGGAGATCAAAGGCCCCGCAGCCCTCTCACCTCTGAGCTGCGGCGCCTCCTTCCCCATCCCCAGGAGTCTGGGGGCCCCTCCACGCACCCGCCCCCAGGCTGCTCCCGTCCTGCTCTGCCCGACCTTCCCCCTCCCCCTCGCGCCGGGGAGCTGAGCCGCGGGCCCGCCGGGTCCAGGCGCGCAGGTCCCCGCCCAGGGCGCGTCCCCGGCGCCGTCGTGGGGAGCTGGTCGTGCCCGCGGGGGAGGCGCCGTCGGGCCCCGCGGCGCAGCCCAGAGTCCTCTGGATCGTGGGAGACCCTGAGCCCGGCCCTGAGGTCAGTCCCCTGGTCACCCCACCCGCACCCCTACTTCCAGCGCAGAATAAATGTAAACTTAAAATCTCGCGGGTGAAAGTCCCGCAGGCTCCTCCCTGGTCAAGGGGCCTGGCAGGGGCCACGGCCTCGGAGGTCACGGGACCCCGAGATTCGGGGCGGGGGGTGGGGCGGGAGCGGTGACCCGCCCCGGCCCGCGCTGCTCCCCGGCCCGGCTCTGGCTGCGGCGGCCGCGCGGGGCCTCCAGGAGCGCTTGGAGCCTCCGCGCCGAGTGTCTGCGGAGCCGCGTCTCCTCGCCCGACCCTCCCGCCCCGCCCGCCCGCCGCCCAGGGCCCGCGGCTCCGCGCTCTGGCCCGGGAGTCGCTGTGGAACCCCCGAAATGCGTGTCGTCCACGTGGCCCCCCGCGATGCACCGGGGCTCCCCAAGGCCAGGCAGGACACAGCGGTTTCTAAAAGCCTCAGAGAGCGGGAGTCTCGGGGCAGGGAGGGGTGAAAGCCGGGTGGACCCTCCTCCCGGGGCAGGTCCTGAGTCCTAGGGAGGTTGGGCAGGGGGAGAAAGTGAGACACAGGGCAAGCTAGGAATTAGGCAGTTTTAGGGACACTGCAGGAGGGGACCTCGGAGAATTGAGGAAGGCTTCAGAGATAAGGGCAGCAAGAGGAGTATAACCAATTCCACTAGGGAAAACAAACATGCCAGGACCAAGGACAACATTGTTAATGCTGGTCCTGGTTTCCTTCAGGTGGTAAAGGGGGGTAGAGATTGGAGAAATGGAGAGTGGTTTAATTTATGGTCACATTAGAAGGGCAGCTGTTTAACTTCAATGCAGGGATGCCCATCCAGAGGACTGGGCCATAAAGATAAAGATGCAACAAATGGGGAAAGAGAAAGCTGTTAGATAAGGGATGTGAAGATCCCCCACTCAGTAGCAGATTAAGTGAGACAGCCGAGAACTAACCAATCACAGAGAGACTGGTGGAGCTTTAGAATAATGAGGGAAAGAAGGTCTATATTCCCTGAGACACGACTCCACTTTGGCTTCCTTGCCCCTCCCAGGCCTGGTTTCCTGGCCTGGGAGTCCCACTTTATTTCTGCTCTTTTTCTCCTCAATAAACTTTTTCTTTCTCTAAACAAACCTGCCTCTTCTCGCTTGCTTGCCTGAGCGTCTGCGAAGTTCCTGCTGCGGCTTCATGAGACACCAACCCGTGGTGATCTGGTGGCTGGGACTCAGCGCTGCCCTGCAGCCTGGGATCCATTCCTGGCTGGGAGACTAGGCCTGACAATTCCGGTATCAAAAGTGTCCAGGAGGGAGGGAGCTCCAGAGACTGAACATGGGCAGCCGGTCCAGAAGGGGCAAGACTCGGGGGCACAAAAGGAGGAGGCAGGGTGGGGGGTCAGAAAGGGACCAGGACTGAGGGGCACCACGGGGTGACAGAGGGGCCTAAGGCAGCAGTTTCCGCTGCAGAAGCCTTTTCCCTCCACCCTGCTCTCACCAGCCCAGGTGTCTGTCTGGGCCAGAGCCCTGGAGAGAAGCAGCAGGAGGAGGGTTGAGGGCCCCATGACCAGCACTGCTGGGGTCTGGGGAGCCTCTGACTCTAGGCTGGTGGGTGGAGACTTACCTGGGCAGGCAGTGATGCTGACTGGTTCTCTGGGAACCTCCAGGCACTGGGGACTGAGAACTGGGGAGGAGTCACAAGTGTCCAGGGCCCAGCACAGGTGGTGGAGACAGAAGGGAGGCTAAGGGGGCAGTGGGGTATCCCCAACAGTAACCTTCCTGCCCTAGACATGTTACAGGGCAGCCCCGATATAAAACGGGTTGCCTGGTTGTGGGTCCTCACCCGGGCGCTTAAAAGGGACTTATTAATACTCCACTACAGGCACACACAAAAGGTTAATAAAAGGTTTATTTACAAGGGAAAGGGAATTAAGGAAATGTACAACTCAGGGAGAAAATAGGGAAATAAAGTCTTTAATGTGTCCTACCCGATCCGCCGACCTGGAAACCCAAAGGCACTCTCAGAGCTGGCTGGACGCTGCGAGCTGGCGGAGTGCCAAAATGGGGATCCCCTCCAAAGCCCATGTGTCTAGCTTTATACCAACCTGGCTGCTTAACCCCACCCTCAGGTCCCAGCCACCTTCCCTTTGGTGGTGATGGGATTTGGAGTGGGGGGTGGAGTCCACAAAGCCTGTATGGAATTAGCTTTAGGGCATCCTTTTCCCCCTAACAGACACAGCCCTGGGGCCTGGAACTATGAGAACCAGACTAAGGGGCCTGGAGCTTTGCTCTGCCCCCTCATTTCCTCACCCAAAGCTTCCTCACCCTGTCTCCATGACCCAAGCGCTGGGTCTGCGATTCTCAGTCATTTTCCTTCCGGGATCTGCATCCAGTCTCACAAATTAGGGAGGACGCCAAGTGTAATCTTGTTTAGGAGGTATCGCTCCCCATATTTACCACACTTGGAATAAAGCTGAGTTTAATCATGTAGCTATTTATTTAGAATAATAGTAATAATCCAATGCATGTTAATAGAAGTGTTCTTTTTTTTTTAAGATTTATTTATTTATTTATACAAGCACTGGGTACAGTCAGAAGCGCGGGAGGGTGAGAGAATTCACCAGAGCCAGAGCAGGGAGCAGAGCAGGCAGACTGAAGTACACTGCTAAGGGGAGTAGCGGGCGGCAGGAGAGGTCTGCGTGCCATGTGGGACCCTCCTCAGGTGGCCGGGGAGCAGCCGGGGATCGAACCGGTGCTGCAGAAGCTGCGCGCAACTTCGCAACCCAGTGCTCAACCGCTGCGCCACCACCGGGGAGGCCCAATAGAAATGTTCTTAAGAAAAATAACTTGGGCCTCCCCGGTGGCGCAGCGGTTGAGCTTTGGGTTGCGAAACTGCCCGCAGTTTCTGCAGCACCTGTTAGATCCCTGGCTGTTCCCAGGCCACAAGAGGCGGGTCCCGCATGGCGCGCAGACCTCTCCTGCCGCCCGCTGCTCCCTTCAGTGTACTTAGTCACTCTGCCTGTTCTGCTCCCCGCTCTGTCTCTGGTGAATTCTCTCACCCTCCTGCGCTTCTGACTGTACCCAGTGCTTTTATAAATAAATAAATAAATAAATAAATAAATTTAAAAAAAAAAAAAAAAATAACTTATTTCTGAAAATAATCAGGGCGATGAGAAGAGTGGATATTTTACATTTGTTTATTTTTGCAATTGTCTTTCTTGTCTGTCTCATTAGAAGACGGTTGGATTTTCATGTTTCTTCATTTTTTTTTTTAAAGATTTTATTTTTATTTATGCATACAAGAGCTGGGGTACAGAGCAGAGATGCAGGGCATGAGAGGATTCACCAGAGACAGAGTGGGGAACAGAACAGGCGGACTGACTGATATATACTGATAAGGGGAGCAGCAGGAAAGTCAGGAGAGGTCTGCTGAGCCATGTTGGTTGCTCCCTGGCTGGCCTGGGATCGAACTCTGTGCTGCAGAAGCTGCGGATTGCTTCACAGCGCGGTGATTAACCCCTTGCGTCACCAGGGAGGCCTTCCTTCTGCGTTTAGTCTGTGGTTCTGGTTGAAGTCTATGAAAAATGTATACAGCCTCACACAAATATGTTGGAGTAGTATTCACATAATTATGAATATTCCACTTTGATACTAAATTAAAACTATATAGGTGGTATTTTCTCGAAGGTTACTTGCAAAGTCAAACCTCAAACAATATCACTGAGTATTTCTTATTCTATTACATTTCCATAGTCCTCTCTTGCATATTAATGGGGTCTTGTGCTATTGTGTGATTTTATTTTTAAAGATTTATTTATTTATTTACACAAGCACTGAGTACAGTCAGAAGCACAGGAGGGTGAGAGAATTCACCAGCGCCAGAGCGGGGAGCAGAGCAGGCAGACTGACGAAATACACTGCTGAGGGGAGCAGCGGGTGGCAGGAGAGGTCTGCGCACCATGTAGGACCCTCGGTGGCGGCGGGGGATGAACCAGTGCTGCAGAGGCTGTGGGCAGCTTCGCAGCCCAGCACTCAACCTCTGTGCCATCAGGGGAGGCCCTAATGTGTGATTTTTTTTAAGTAATATATTGTTTCACTAAGTTATAAAGCTCTTCAGTGTTCTTTACACTGGAATCAAATTATTTTTAAAAAGTCATTTTATTTTTCACCACAAATCCCAAAAGTAAAAGTAGTACTGGAAATTGTCAAGTTAGTGATGGGACACAATTTTCCGTATTCTGTTTTTTTCTGAGCA